CTTGCAGGTGGGTGCCAAATGGGGTTGGTGGCTGGCTTCCATCTTCTGAATTCTGGCAACCAAGTTTAGACCTTAAGAAAGGGCTGCCCAAGGTTGCCGCTCTCCGACGCAAGGAATGCCTTTGTGGGGCTGCTTGGGGGCTGGCAGCTCCTTTGTCTGAGCTTCAGTTAAAGAGCAAGCTGTGAATTATTGCTTTTAAATGCACATTTCTCCTTCTAAAGACACAGCTGTTGGTGAATTCAGCTGGTGTGTGGCTGTTGTGGATGGCAGAACTGCTATCCAGTGTTATGGATGTTTTCTTTTGATACGAATCTGGTGAGGTACATGCAAAATATGTGCAGCCCTTGGGCTCTTGGCAGGTGGCCACGGGGACTGTCAGCGATATCTGGGTGCTTCTGATCTCATCTGGGAAGTCTGAGCTGCTCTCATGGTTGGTGTTCCCATGTCTGTGTCCTATGGAGATGACACGCAGCCTTAAGTGTCTCCACTAATTGGGTCGCTCCGTCTGGCGCGGTCTGTGCTCTGGGTCGGGTTTGGGCTGTGCTCTGGGTCGGCTTTGGGCTGTGCTCTGGGTCGGCTTTGGGCTGTGCTCTGGGTCGGGTTTGGGCTGTGCTCTGGGTCGGCTTTGGGCTGTGCTCTGGGTCGGCTTTGGGCTGTGCTCTGGGTCGGGGTCGTGGCACTGGGGACTAAAGGCCATTTCCCAACAGCCTGTGCCTGTCCCTGCGGTGTTCTGGGTCACCTGAACTCCTGGTTCTTCTCTGCCCTGTGGTTCTTGCAGCCATCCTGACTGTCCTGCTTACGGTCTCCTTCACCTGCATTACTTTGGGCCACACAGGAATGGTTTGGCAGGAGACAAACAGTTTTCTTAGGAAGAAAAGAGAGCGATATTGGCTGTGGAAGTGGAAGAGGCATTGGGTTTTGGGATGGGTTCTTCAGTGTTGGGACTGTATGAATAGGAACCATAAGAATTCTCTAGATTCTGGTACGTGAAGCAGTTGTGTGTCTGTCACGTTGGGTGTCCTCCCGGGCCTTACATCTGCCTTAGGACTGCCTTACTGTTTGCCTGGGCTTCTGCAGCCAGGTTAAGTGATTCCTCCTTTGGAATTCAGAGGAGCAGATGCTGGCCTGCCCAGGAGCCAGGATCTCTTCCTTGCCTGCACTGCTTGCCAGGTTTGTTTGGAAATCTGGGAGCTGCCACTTCGAAAGGGACTTTTCCATCATGACCTATAGCAGGCTTCTGGTTTTCCAGTGATAATGTGCTTCTGTAGGAGGAAGTTAAACCTAAATGATCCTCTTTTTCCTGTATGTGGCTGAAGCTCAGGCACTGTGTCCTGCCTCCAGCTCTGCCGTATAGCATCCAGTATTGGTGTGTTTGGAGCATGGCACGGGGTGCTGGGATCCCTGTGGCACAGAGCACGTGGATCCCTGGGATCCCGGCATCCCTGTGGATGGAGCGTGGCAGGGAGTGCTGGGATCCTCGCATCGTGTGTGGAGCCGGTCAGGGAGCTGGGATTCCTGGATCCCTGTTTGGAGCTCTGGGATCCCTGCCCGGGTTCCCAATGCCCTCTAGTGGCTGCTGCCGCTGTGCTGCGGTTCTGTAGGGCACGGCAAAGATCCACGTGTTTGGAAAGGAAAATAAATTTTGCACGTTTTTGCTTTAGTCCCTCTTTATTTGTCTGGATTAAATCCCAATCCTTCCCTTGGGAAAAAGTTCTCGTAAATTCAAACACCAGACAGTAACTGGATATCTCATGGATCTCTAGATCCATAGCAACTTGCTATGGGGATTTATTGTAGAATGGTTTGTTCCTTACATTAAAACGTGTGTTTCTTTCTCTCTAAACAAGAAGCAGCTGGAAGGGACGTGCTGGCTGGTGTCACTACAACCAGACTGTGGTGCTTATGTATGTGCATTAATTGATTTGAAGAAGTAATTCTTTTTAAGCAATGGGAACAGGACTTTTGAACTCATGCTCTCAAATAGTTTTTGAAGAAAAATCAGTATTTTGCAAAGGTCAGATTCCTTCCCAGCTCCTTCCCTCCTCCCATCCCATCCCAGCAGCCCCAATCGGGGTGTGAGCTGCCTGCCACAAGCCCCAGAGCCAAACTGGGCTGCCCAGGCACAGCCAGGGGTTGGGTTGGTGCTGAGGACACGCAGGGTGTGTGTGTTACAGGCTGCTGTAAGTGTGCATAGCACTTCTCAGCAGCAGCAGACAAGATATTCTGTGAGGCTTTGGGGAAAATGAATGGCTACAGGAACAAAGTTTCATAGAAGCAGAGTTTAAATTGGAATACTTGGCTTTTTTCTTTAGGAGGACAGTGCATGCTGTGAAATGCATAGAAACTGTTGAAGTCTGATTTGGTTTGTTTGCCTCTTTGGGGGGTGCAGGTTGGATTTCTCTCTTCCTCCTCCCTCTGAGAAACACAGGGCAGGGGCTTGTGTGTACAAATATCCTTGTGTATATTTATTTATTTATCTTTTTTTCTGGAAGTCAAACTCCTTGAAGAGACAGCAAATAGGTAATACATGCAGAGTTTTCATGGTGTCCGGACTGCTGTGTGCTCCTGTACCTGCAGTTCCCCCACTCCAGCCAGCTCTGGACCCGTGTGCTCAGCCTCCTGTCCTGGCAGAGCCGAGCTGGGCTCCTGCAGGTCCCTCCTGCAGGTCCCTCCTGCCCTCCCTGGCCGGTCTGACAGGAGAAGGGCCGGAGGAGCCCGGGGTGCTGCCCTGGGGGGGCCAGGCCGTGTGATTGTTGGAGGTTAAATATTGGCCCGTGTTAAGGATCCTTGGGGTGCATCAAGGACAAGGGAGGGAAGGTTCCCTGGGGAGGGGGTGTTTGGAAGGGAGGGTGTCTCCAGGAGGTGAGGGACTGAGCACTGCCTCAGTACTTGGGGTCAGCAATGTGTGGTCCTTTTAACTGATGACGAAGCCATTACTGAACTGTTTCTCATAATCGGCAAAACAAATCCATGTCAGGAAATAAATGCAGAAGTAATGGCTTGGCTTTCATCAGCAAGCACTTAAGCAGCCTGCTAATGATTTGAAAAGGCACAACAGAAGAGATCTGAAAGGAAAACGGCAATATCAGATTTATTTTCAATTTTCATCTGCTTCACTAGAGTTAAATCTGAGAAATGAAGACAAATACCTGCACGTACGGAGCATGGTAATGCCTCAGTGCCTCTGTCAAGGAGAGGGACTTTGGTTTGCACGTACTGCTTGCTGCTACTTTTGACTGGAATTTTGTGGCATGTGGTTAGGCCAGAGAGTCTCTGTAGGAACTGAACAGCAGAGGACAGATGAGCCCTTCCCAGTCACCAACCCTGTCTGCTGGGTTAAGTCCTATGAGCCTTGACTGCAGTTCATTTCAGCTCCTTGGGCATAGGGGTTGTTTAAATGCACAGTTTAAGAAACTGCAGAAGAGTTTCTTTTCAGAAGCCTGTTAAATAATCCTTCTTTCACAGTAGAAAGGGGAGGCGTTATTTTCCTGTAAGGACTAAATATTGTGGCAAAGACTGGAAATACACAGGCAAATTCACTCCTTTATCTCCTATTTTAGAGGGACTGGGAGCCTCTGCTGTACACTGGAAGCAGCCTGAGCTGTTGCACAAGGTGTAGTTACCTGTTTCCAGCAGTGGGGAAATGGAACTGGGCCACTGAAAGGAAAACCCTTGGACAAGCAGCTTAAACTGGGAAATTACTCCTCAGGGAGGAGCATCTCCTTTAAATACATCTCACTGTTTTTCTCACCATCCAGCACTGGTTTTTGCTGGTTAACAGAAGCTATTCCAAGTTTTCTGGCAGAGTTCTTTTCTGTTTCCCCTCAAAGCCCAGATAATACAGTTTTACAGACCACCTTTTCAGTTCACAACAACTTAATTTATAATACCTAGTTCAGAGAACGTATCTTCTGTATTACATTCCTGCTTGGTACTGGGAGGGCTCGTGTTTCCCTACTAGCAAGCTGCTGTATCTGCAGTGTAGTTGCATGTGATGTTTCTAATTCTAAAAAGAAATTGCAGTAAATGTATGAATTTTATAAATGAAGGAAATTACTTGGGGAAACAAGACATAGTAAAAATGAGATCAATCAGCTTTGGGTTGTGCTGTGTTTTGTATAAGACACGGATGAGTCAGTCATGGCCAGGCTTCGTGAACGAAGATTTGGGAAGGCTCTATCCACATTTGCTACAAGCACGCTGGTGGCTTATGAGGCCAATACGAGACAGACATATCCCATTGCAAAAGGCACAGCAGAAAGACTCCTTAGATGGTGTATTCTGCAATACACGGTTCTTTCTGCGTTGCCTTTTCCCCTCAAGGGTGATCCTGCGTGTGTTCTCAAAGGAGACAGCTGCGTTATAGATGGTGTGTCTCCAGGCCTCCTGATTGGAGACCAGAGTAGACCAGTGATGATGATCAATATGGCCAAGGCTGAGATGTTGTTTCAGGCAGTCCTTGTATCTTTTCTTTCGGGGCTCCTCTGTTGCGGCAGCCGGTGGCAAGTTCACCATAAAGCAGGATCTTAGGGAGGCGGTGGTCCTTCATCCTGGAGACATGTCCTACCCAGCACAGCTGTGTTCTCAGCAATGTGGCCTCAATACTTGTGACTGCTGCTTGCTCTAGAACAGATGTGTTGGTCACATAATCTGCCCAGTGGATGTTTAGGATTGTTCGGAGGCAGTGTTGATGGAAGCGTTCCAGGAGTCGCAGGTGGTGGCGGTAGATGACCCATGATTCGGAACCGTATAAGAGAGTAGACAGCACTATGGCTCTGTAAACACTGATCTTGGTGCTTTTCTTCAAGTGTTTATCACGCCACACTCCCCGAGGCGCGGGAGAGCCCCCGGCAGCCGAGGCTCCCGGCCGCATGGCACTGGAAGCTCCCTGCCGCCGTGGGAAGACAGGGATGAAAGACACTGCTAAACGCTGATTTTCAGGTGGTTGCATTTTCAGACAGCAGTGGAAGTGTACAGAGTTCTCTCATCTCTTTCTGCAGCTCCAGGGTGGCCGATGGAGTTATGATTCTCCCTGTGCTGATGGTGATGGCGTTCCCGTCCCCGAGCTGGCAAGGTGAGTGTCCTGCATGCTCGGAGCCAGGGCTGCTGAGGGAGCTGGGACTGGGCCTCCTGGGCCTGCTCTGGAAGCCCCCTGCTCCCGTGTGGCCTCTCTGGAGACCCCTGCTCCCGTGGTGGCCGCAGCCCCGCTCCCGGTAGGTGGCCCCGCAGCCCCCGCTCCCTTTAGTGAGTTTGCGCAGGTGGTGACCCGGGCAGCCCCCGCTCCCGTGTCGGCCCCCGCGCCCGCTCCGTGGTGGCCCCGAGCCCCGCTCCCCGGTGGTGGCCCCGCAGCCCCCGCTCCGTGGTGTGCCCGCAGCTCCTGCCCCACAGCCCCCACTCGTGTGGAAGAGCCAACCAAGCAGGGCGGTTTCCCCTCCAACATGGGATGTCCTGCTATTTCATTTCAAGTTGCTCCAAAGGATGTTGGTTGCCCATTTCTGTATCAGATGTACAGCCTGTAGCATGGACATAGTCTTCCCAGGGGCTGGGGAGGGAAATGGGAAGCCTTATTTGAACAGGTTGTTGGGGGAGGTAAGGAGGAGGTCTTTTAGCCCATGGACTGAGGTGCAGCTGTATTGCTTGTGTTCTTTAAGCTTTTTCTATGCAAAGGCTCTTTGGAGGTTTACTGTGCTGTTTGGTGACTCTTCCATGATTACTCCAATAAGGGCTTTGGGTTTGGCAAGTGACTTTTCCATAACTGGTTTACACAGCTGTGTGAATGTGAAGGTTTTCTGACACGCAGGGTGTTTAAGGTTTGCCTCAGCAAAATGGGGAACGGTATTTCCACTGCCATGGAGGGGCAGGAATAGTTCATTTGAAGCTCTCTTGGATGTTTTGAGAGATGAGCTCTGAAAGATATGTATTTGCTACTTCATAAACAGCCTTTGGAAGATGTTGAATAAAAGCTTTCTGCGAGTAACTTGCTTTTCTCAGTTTTAAATTTTAAGTTATTCAAGAGGTGTATCTTGTGTCTGCTGTGGCATATCTGTGCTCTTCTGTATGTACCTCGTGTAAACTCTTTCTGAGCTACTCTGAAATGCATTTTCAAATGTTGATGCAAATACTAAAAGGCAGAGTGTATTAAATGGAATGGGAGAATGGGTGGTGGAGGTGAAGATTCAAAATGCATGGAGGTCTAGTGGTTGACTTTAGTCGTGTCTGTGAATAGGAAATTGAGACAAAGTTTAAAAAAAGAGAGTGTCTTGGATCTTGTTCTGTTAAATACCCAGATTGCTGGAGTCAGCACTGTGTGTTGTTGGCTTTCACAAAGGGAATAAAAAAACAAAACAAGGGAGCTCCAATGTTGATACTTTCACAGCAATGAATTAATAAGAGGACAGGCAGTGTTGGTTAGGTTTTTCCCCTCTGCTGAGTGTCCCTGTGCAGATGTCCCTCCGGGGGTGTATGTATGAGAGGTGGTGTAAAATGCCACTGTACTCTGGAGTGTGAGTGCTTGGAGTGGGCAGACAGGAGTGTGTTTCTTTGGTGCTGAAATGGCTGAATTGGTATCGTTAGCTCCTGGCTGGTGGTTCTTCAGCTCTAGCTGCAAATAATATCTCTGTCCTTAAACAGAAGATTTTATTGTCCGATGGTTTCGTTACCTCTAACCGAAGCTATTAAGAACAGGATGATGTTTCTTCCCCAACTCTCCCTTCTACAGATGATGAACTGAAGCTCAAGATGGTGCACTACGAATGTGTGTGTGAAGGCATGTCCTGTGGGAATGGGGATCGGTGCCAAGGCCAGCAATGCTTTGCTTCCCTGAGCATCAATGACGGGGCTAAGGTTTACCAGAAGGGCTGCTTCCAGGTCTATGAACAGGGCAAAATGACTTGCAAAACACCTCCGTCCCCTGACCAGGCTGTGGAGTGCTGCCAGGGACACCTGTGCAACATGAACATCACTGCACAGCTGCCCTCTTCCAAAGGTGAGAGCTTCATCAATCACCTGGGGACTTGGAGGAAGAAAAGGGCTTTGATCTGCTGTGGTGGGAGCGAGATGGCTCCAGTGCTGGATGAAGGAAGGGATTAATGGGCACAGCAAGGCCCTCTGTGCCTTGTTGACCGCCCTGGAGCCTGCTGGCACACGTGTGATGGCCAAATGGTCTGTGTGGGCAGGGCAGTGATGGGGTTACAGTGCACCACTGGGGATGGGGTGGAGGTGCTGCCTGTGAGAAATGGCCCTGTACAGGGGGGTTGTGCTGACAGCTCTGCAGGGAGCACATCCTCTGTGCAGTGTGCTCACTCCTCTGGCTGTGGCACAGCCTCTATCACACCGGGTGGGTCCTGAGGTAAGGGTCTGTCAGTGCTGCTGGATTTAAAGACTTCCTTTGGCAATCTGCAGATTTACTTTTTTTCCTCTCTCTCTTTTTTCCCTTCTTTTTCCCTTCCCCTCTCATTTCCAAGGGCAAACCTTTCAAGGAGAAGCTGCAGGTTACAGTATGGAAACACTAATCATCGTTATCCTGGCTCCTGTGATAGTGTTGATAGTTTTTTCTGCAGTAGCAGTGCTGATCATCCGGAGAATACAGAAGAACCACATGGAGAGGCTCAATTCTAGGGATGCAGAGTATGGCACCATCGAGGGCCTCATTGCCTCGAACGTGGGGGACAGCACGTTGGCAGTAAGTGACCTGTGTGCAGGGGGAGCTTTCCTCACTGCCGAGCTCCCTCTCGGCCCTCTCTGGGGCCACATCACTAACAGGACCTTTTGCTGCCAGGGGATGCCACTTGGCCTCAGGACTTCTGTGGTGATGTTCCTGGGCTCCCAGAACTGCAGTTGTAATGAATTTTAACCAAAAGACAGCTTTGGCAAGTGTAGCATCGCTCTAAGCTGTTCATGTTCCTGGAAACAATGTCTGAACAGCAAAACAGAGTGTGCCTGACTTGGGTGGCCTGAAGTGATGTGGAAGGTGTAGAACTGTGCTGCATCTTTGATATATGACTGCCCAAAGGGCTGGAAAAGATGTGATGGTAGGGGAAGGAGAAAATACAGATAATTTTGATGTTTGAAACCTTCAGACCTGACTGCTGTGATCTTGGTAGCAGGGCTCCTGGGATGACTGGGAAATCAGTAGCACTTTGTTGACAGAAGACCAGTGGGAGTTTTAAGAAATGTGCAATGCTTACTCAAAGCTCAGTTTTCAAAGTATGTTCTTGTTCCTGTGGTGTCCGGAAAATATAATGACTTGGAGAATGTTCCTTTCTGAAGGCTGACTGTACCTTCCCCTTCCAGCTGAGGCTTGAGCACAAGTGTCCCCACAAACTGTCCTGAGGTCTCTCGAGCAGAGCAAGTAAGGCTTCAGGCAGCTGGAGGGTTTGTTCCTGAAACCAGTGCAGAGAGTTTTCTCCTCCTTGCATTGCTGAGATAGAATCCTCAACAGTAAGAGGCTGGAAAAGGTTTTCCATCTTGGTGCTGTCCCACCATAATGTGCTGGTTCACTGCAGGGTTGAAGAGTGGCTAATACCCATTAATCTTTATTTTTTTTAAAATGCCTTTGGCTCTCTTTAATTAGCTGTTTTAAACCTGTGTTAGTGGTTTAAAACAGCCAGACTGGATATATTCACCAAGAACCAGACGTATGCAAGTGGTGATCTGTCCTTAAACACTGATTTCCAGCTTTTACCAGCTGTTATCTCATAGTGCCAGACCACTTCCAGCCATTTGCAAACCTTTTGCACTTCGAGATGTTTAATGTTACTTGGAAACAGTGATAAAACCTGGGAAGAATAAATCAAAATTCTGTTTCAAAGGCCTGGGAGGAGTTGGAAGCTGTGAGGGCTTGGTGTGGTGGAGCTGTCAGACCCCTGAGTGATGGTTGTGGTGCCAGCAGCCTCCCCGTGGGTGATGCACAGACAGTCGTTGTTACTTCCCATGTCTAAATGCTCCTCTAAACAATAAGTCTTTTTTAGATTTCAGATTTTTTCTTCTCCGTTGTGTTTCAGATCACCGGTTTTGTCACACATTATATGAGTTTACCTTTAGGATTAGTCTCCAGTGCAGCAAGTGCTTAAAGCCCTAAGCTGCTTAATGGGCGTGGAAGGAGCTGTGACCTCTTCAAATCTTGTTTTTACAGTCACTGTAGATAAGTTTGGGGTTGGTTTTTTGGTTTTGGGGTTGGTTTTTTTGTTTTGGGGTTGGTGGTTTTTTTTTTTTGCCTCTGATATAGCAGGAAGAAAAATGAGCTCTCAGTTTGTGTTAAAAAGCAAGATAGCACTCTCTGTCGTTCCCGGATTATCTTTTTCTTGAGCCCTCCTTAAGATGCTGTTAGAAGAAATGAGATTTCATGGATCTAATTCAAGCCCAGCAGTGCAGTTTTCTGGAAATACTAGAAAGTTGATTGTACTTAGGCTTTTTTATCCTATTTTCCTTTGTAAAGAAAAAAAAAAAGTCCAGCAATAGTTGTTAATGCTTTGAACTAGTACAGAACTCCTGGCCATAAAAGTAGCTGGGCATTAGCATTTCACAAGGCTAATGGGATTTTAACATTCAATTAGGATCTCACTCATGTTTGTTATAAGCTTACAGTTCAAAGTCTGCTTTCTGTGCACCAAGAATACCAGAAACTGATAAAACGTTTGAGAAAGATTTGTTACAGAGGATTTTCTGGAGTATCAATGACAAATCTTTTGTAGGGGGTGCGGGTAAATCCCCTCTCACCTTGTTTGTTTGAAAACTGTTTTCAGTTCTAAACACGAGCATCAAGCCTGAACAGTTGGGCCCAAAGCTCCCAGTGACCTGCCACAGAATGACTTTGTTTGAGGGACTGTCCCGGTGGTTCAGCCCCTGCAGGGAAGGGGCCTGGCAGTGAATTAGCTGGGTGTTGTCTTGTAAAGAAGTTGTGATTTGGGGCAGGGACCTGATGTTTATCAGCAAAGCCCCTGTGGTGCAGGTGGGATGTGGCTGTTTCTGGGGATCTGTTCTGGGCCATTTGAGAAGCTTCTGGTGTGCCAGACCTGTTCTCTAACCCGGTGTTCCTGTGCCCCTCACTGCCTGCTGAGGGTGCTGGGCTCCTGCAGCTGGCACCTGTTCCCATAGAGCTCAGGATGTCCCTGCCAGTCTTACCTGGGCAGGTGACCTGCCTGACAGCAAAGTGCTGCATCGTGGGGTTTCTGTTCTCTGTTACTGCGACTTTTAGCGTCGAGGTTTGGGGTGTGGTTGTAAAACAGGTGTCTGGTGACATTAAGGTGCCCTGTGGCTCTTAGGGCACCTCTGTGTTTGACAGGTATGAGACAGGGCCTCTGAAATCCCTGTTCTTCCCTAGGATGGTGTCTGGAGGTTCAGTGGGGTGCACTAGGACATCCCAGACAGCACTGGGTGTGGGTAGGCAGCAGTTTGCCCGTGGTTCTCAGTGTCAGAGGCCAAGGGGGGCTGGCAGGAGCAGGGCAGTGAGGGTGGCTGCAGCCCCTTCTCCCTGCTCTGCCAGCTGCAGCTCTGCTTGGAGGGACGTGTGCTTCCAGAAATCCACGCTCAGGCTCAGAAGTGGGGAGGGTGGTACACGGGTGAGGGGGGCCTGGGTGACTGTGCACGCCCACCTGCTGGTCCAGCTCTCCCAGAAGGGCTCAGTTTTGGGATGCTCACCTGCTCCAGCCCTGGAGTGTGCTTCCTGGGGGCCTGCAAACTGCATAGGGGTGAAGGTTTTAAGTACAGAAATCAAAGAAAATGTATTTCTTTTCGAGGTGCTCAGATTATTGCCAGACATAAGAAACTTTGGGGCAGAAAAACTGATATTAACCTGTTTGAAAGAGGTATCAGATACAGAACTGAGAGAGAACATAAGGTAAGTAAGAGAAAAACAAAGTGCTGAAAAAGGTTGGGATCTCATGGCAGAAGATAGTTGGTAGGCCAGGAGCAAGCTTCCAGTTTCACAGGCATCTATTGTCTTTTGTTTATTAAATGAAATGACTTATTAGACAAATGCTACTTGTCCCTGAGTGACCAAATGGCATCCCCAGAGCCACTGAGATATCCTGAGCTGTAACCTACCTGCCCCATGCAGGGTGTACCTTTGTGTGTGTAAACAGGGAAAAATGGGGTTCTCATGGCTTGTAAACTTCTACTTTTCCTTTTGAACAGGATTTGTTGGACCATTCCTGCACATCTGGAAGTGGTTCTGGACTTCCCTTCTTGGTGCAAAGAACGGTGGCTCGTCAGATCACGCTTGTGGAGTGTGTAGGTCAGTGCCAGCCTTGTTCACATCTGGTAACAAATGCAGAGAGAAAGCTCTATCTCCCATCCTCATCTTTCTCCTCAGTTGTTTAGATAGTATATGCAACTTTTCAGGCTTCAGCTGATGGAACATGCTTGGTTTTGGAAAGTCAAGTGAAAAAATTCCTTCCAGATCTGTGCAGAAGAAAGGGGCAAATATCCGTGCTTTGTGATGGAACAATTTAAACTTTATTCAGCAAGGCAATGCTAGAAAATACAAACCAGGCCTGTGTGAGCTAAATAAACTGCTTTTAGAAAAGCAAGCTGAGTTTGAAGTTTGACACTGTGAACACCATTTGTTCATTAATGGTGTTCAACTCAAAAGCTTTACAAGTAGAAAAAGGTCACCTGGGTTTGAGATCTGGAGTTGGAGCATCAAGCAAAGTGGCAAACATGGTATTTCAAATAGAAACCTGTGATTTTGGGCTGTGGGAATGGGAACATGAATGTGTTGTAGTTGACTTACTCTGCACTGTTCTTTGGAACCCTGCAGGCAGTGATGTGCTGCTGCTGCTCTTCCCCCTGAAAGAAAATCTCTCTAGTAATTCTTCCCTAAAAGTCTTCTGGGTCTTTAGTTTTTTGTAGGACTTTAGTGTTAATTTTAGGGATTCATTAAATTTTACTTTGGCATATATTTATTATTAATCGAATAGTGTTAAATTTGAGTTTAGTAATTTTAGGAAGCATTTGGGTCAAAGATACCTGGAGGCAGTGACATTGAGCCAAGATGCTGTACTGGCACTAAAGAGGTGAGGAAGGCATGAGAAAGAAGGAAGAAAGGACTGGAGTATGTTGTGTGCTGCTGCTTCAGTGATCTGAACTCAGGGTGGTTTAACACCTTCCTGTCAGTCCTGAGAAGGTTCAGCTCATCAGGGTGTCAAATCAAGCCCAACTGTAACAGATGAACCTGTGAATCCGCAGGGACCAGGCCTGCATTTACCAGTGTTCCTGTGCTTTTGGCTCAGTGTATATTGAGTGGCCACAAATGTTCACACTTGCCTGAAATCCAAGTGTACACCCTCTGATGCACCAGGAGCTGTGGGGTATGACAAACATGGTGATTCTACTACCTGTGACAGAGGCATTTCTGTGTGTGTGTACGTGGGAGTCCCCTGTCCCTGGAATGGTGCCTTCTCCCAGGTTAGCTCAGGCTGGCACCATTCCCACAGCCCTGTGTGTTGCCCTGTAAGGCAGAACCAGATGAAGGCACCTGTGCAGGAGGTGTCCCTGGGGTGACAGGAGGGGGGTGTCCCTGTGGTGACAGCAGGGGGGTGTCCCTGGGGTGACAGGAGGGGGGTGTCCCTGGGG